TTTTCTGTTACTACGGCAGCAGTCAGGTGCCTTTATGAGCAGGTTTTCATTCTGTAATCCTTCTATCAATAGTCCTTTTTCATATCAGACACATTTTGACATGTCACAGTAGGGAAATCACAGGTGTAGATAATAAAATGAGTGACGGCTGAATTCCATTAATCTGCCTCAGTTTCAGGGTCCTGGTGTTTTGCATGCTGGCTCACTTTCCACACACTCGTGTCTTACTTGAACTGAGCAAAGCCATCGTTAATGTTATCAGTAACACCTGTGCTTCTCCTACTATCATATGTCAAAATGTCTGCCGCAGAAGAATCCTGTCTTAAACCGATTTGGGTGTAAGTGATGGCGGACAAAATCCTGCAATCCTTCTTCATACAAAAGTCTTTAGTCTGCTCCCTATATTGCAATTTGAAACCAAAACTAACAAGACCAAATGTAAACAATGTAACACAGACATAAAGATTGGTTCAGAACCATGGGCCATGATTTTTGGGCACAGGATGGACACACAAGGGCGCAGCAGCTATCAGATGAGCAGGAAACAGGACTAACACAGTAAGTAAATTGATTAAGGACACACAAGGCAAATCATTTCAAAGTAGAACTGGAATTAATAAACCCAGAGTGCATGACCAAACTCAGTAATTCAAAAACAAGTACAACACAAACAAGGTCCATGTAACATTTGTCCTTCACTGGAGCAGATTATATCAGTTTATTGACATTTTCACTAATTCCTTTTGAATAATACACGAATATACACAGGTGTATTTATTAACATATGAGTGTGTGTAATGTGGTGCAGCTTGATTGGATTTAAGGGGACTGTTGGGGCTTGTGAGGTATTTGCGCTCTACTGAGCTTAATTCTAGGTCTCCATGTTTTGATTTATTAAGAAGTATTGTGCCCTTAATCCATGCCAGTTCTCTCCCAACATTATCCTGCTACTATCTGCTCCTCTAAACCGATTGCCTTCACAGTACATCGTCTCCAACCCTCTGTCCTTTTACGACCATTTACCAACACGTCGCTCCCTTCCCTAAAGGCTCAGCCCTCCATTCCCCGGTCCTCCCTTTTTCATCATTGCCCGGCGCTGAGGAACATTGTTCTTGATTGCTTGGCAGATGCCATTATCCTGGGTTTATATCTTCACAATCGCATTAGCCATTTGCACAGCTGGGTACTTACTGAAGCAAGGCAGGTTAAGCACCGCACTTGAGGGGACAAAATGATGGAGGCCCACCTGGAGATTGAGCTTGGCCGTTCCTCAGCCCCACGCCAATACCAAAAAACACAGTTGGCCTTTCCTTCCATTTAACTAATGCCGCAATATCTCCCTCTACATCTCCCCCCTACATACACACCCCTCAGTTTCTCAGTATATAGTTACAGTGAGTCTTTTTTAACCTCATCTACTTCTCCCTTGATTCCTGCACTGCTGTTTCTTCTTGCAGCCAACCTCGAATTATCCTCACCCCCAGGCTTTCTATATTTCTTCCTTTGTTTTCTCTCACACTCATTTTTTGTATCCATACCTCCCTCTAGTAGAATTAAGGGACTGCAAAATGCACATCCACACCAAACAGAAAGAAATAAGGAAAGGAGGATGATGGAGGTTGGGAGGTGACGGTGTCTGCAGGGCTTGCCAACACAGCGACGAGCTCAGGCAGCCGGCCAGAGACACATTTTTACACACTCTTACTGTCACGCTGAGATTTTTTATTTGTCTGTGTCTCTGAGCTCAAAAGGATTATTCTGTTGTTATTTTCATCCCTGTTACTTAATATTCAAAGTCTGACATTTCGCTAGATTAGCTGATTGATCAAATTAATCGTTGTTTACCGATGGCACCGCTGGACATTAAACTCAATTGAGACAACCTACTTTTAATCCTTTTATATTAAAGCGGAGATAAGTCCAGAATGAGACGTATGGGGAAACGAGGACCAGATGCGATGTATATTAGAGATAGCTCAGATAGAGGCCAGCTGGAAAAATAAAGAAATCCCACTAAGGGAGAGACCAGCACATTTTCTACTGGAATATTGCTCACACTGGCAATGAAGTCACTTAGGAAATCAATATCAAGCCAACAAGGATATATGAAAGTGTTGAGGCTGATTGATGATAGCAAATTATCAGAATAATCAATATGCCCATAGCTGCTGTTTATGAATTAATCACGAACCAAAAAAATGTCAGAGTCAAGGTAATGAGCCCTAGTTACTGTTACTCTACTGTGAAGTGGAGAAAAACACAAACTGTGCAGCTGCAGAGGCTGCAGGAGGCAACACACATACATAAACATGGTGCAAAGTCGAAAGAACAAATACGTTCAATAACTTATGACACTGGGAAGCTTCACTCAGTCGCACGTTCAAAACACACTCATACACGAAGCACATCATAAATATGCATCTGTACCTCTGCCGTTTGAGACGGGTCTTTGGAAACATATTAAATGTCACCGTCTATATTTTCATCTTGCCTTCATTTGGCGCTGTGTGGCTGGCGTGTGCAACAGGAAGCCAGAGATCATCAGTTTAGGAAGAAAAGGAGGAAACGTGCTCCTCATGAGCGGCACTTTCCTCCCGAGTGCGAGGGCGACAAAAGGATGACAAATGGCAGAGTGAGTGGAGGTGAGTGATCCAGTGGAGCCGCACAGATAGAGGGACGGTGGGACAGTAAGAGGGTGTGTGTGTGTGTGTGTGGTGGGGGGGTGAAGGTACTTGTTCTTTCATCCGCCCCTTTACTCCAGTCACCACGGCAACATGCCTGGAGGGTACTCAGGAGAGGCGTCATCACTGACAAAAACAACAGAGAAGCAGAAAGTGAGTGAGAGCAAATGAGAGCAAACCAGACAGACTGTGTGTATGAATGAGAGCGGGGAGAGTAGAAAGTCGACAGCAGATCCACAGCCGACTCCAGCTTCTTCTCCTCATTCATAGAAGTGTGAATTTGACCTTCAGGGACTCGGGCTAGAAGTTTAACGAACACTCATTCATCTCTGCGGGTCATTTATATTAATGTTTGGATATCGACGCTTAAGTTTCACCAACAGCATCTATAACAGCGTTGGATGGGTGTGAACATCGCTGATATCCTCTCCAAATAGGACATTATTATAAGATAGGAAATTGGCAGAGTTAATCAAACCGAGGCTAATGCCTAATATTTGGAATTAACGGAGCCATTAATACTGCTGGCTGCCGGTAGGCTAGATAGAGTGGTTAAACCACCAGCGGCGAAATTAAACAGGTTAATTAAAGTCTCGAAATTGTCGTACACTTGGTTCAATGTAGAACACACACACACACACACACACACACACACACACACGAATCATTATTATACTGGCCTGTGGTGGCCTTCAGCAAACTGTATTAATTTTCTAATATTAATCATGATTCTAACCTTAACCCATAACCCATGTTGTGTTGTGAATCCAATATAATTTGTATTTTTCAAAATTCCAGTCCATTCATCCATCCACTCGTCCATCCATCCATCCATCCATTCATCCATCCATCCATCCATCCATCCATCCATCCAACCAACCATTCTTCTGTCCATCCAACCATTAGTTGACATCTGGGATATTTGGTCTATGGTCCAAACCCAGAACCCTCTTTCTATAAGGCACCACTGCACCACCATGTCGTCTAAGTAACTAAATAATAAAGTAAATGATAATAATTGATGCTTCCATAGTGTTCATGATCAACTCAACTAGTGATGAGTATGAATCTGAAATGAATCAGATGCCACACACTCACAGTTTCCACATCACACCCCAGCTCAACATCTATAGGAGACTTTGGAACGACTCTTTATTTTGGGCTCGGGCTACATACACAGACATGATAGGCAAAATGTTGGACCCGGACCAATCACAGCTTGAGATCTTTCACAGTCTCAGGTTGGGCCTCGTGTTAGACAGCGTGCACTCCACCACCATCATGTTGTTTTTTCCTTTAATTCCTCACCCATTTGTATCAAACACTTTCCATTTTTTCTGGTTGTTGGCAGAAATCTGAACAGTGTGTGTAATTAACTATGATAATGATTGAATGTGTGATAATGAGTCATTTCACAGCCGCTGAGGATTTTAGTCTTTTGGTGTTTTCCCAGCTTAATACCAAACTAAAACCTTGAACCTACTTATATAGGCCTACTTATAGAAAAAATATAACTCTGTGATCTGTACTGTATTTTCTTACCGCTGCCAAGGAGGTGACGTGTGTCCGGTAGATGACAGGATTACCCAACAGATGGAATTGTGAGAAAAATGAGAGGTGGGGGCATGACCCAAGAGAGAGCTCATTAAATGCTGGTGTGGATCCAGGGGATCTTTTGCACTTTCTTTAACGTTAGGCGGTTTTCCACATTTCTCGTTGATTTCTCCAGTATATAATTCATGGATCTTGATGAAAGAAAGACATGTTAAGGGAATTGCCTGTACAATTTGGTTCCCCCCCCAAAAGCCTGGATCAAGTGAATTTTAATGGGGTTTCATGAGGGAACTGTCGGAACTTATTGTGTGCCACCCTATAGCTTTTATGATTTGTGAAAGTTAATGTCTATCAACTAAACATACTGTAGTTCCAACAAACTCAATATAACCATACACTGTAATTTATATAAGCAACATTTCTTATCTTAAACCCAAATTCTAACTCTATAGTCTGACTGATGCTTCACTTTTCTCATCTCTTAATCAAGATGTTATTGTTGTCTGCAGACTACGCACACACACTTACACACACACACACACACACACACACACACACACACACACACACACACACACACACACACACACACACAGTGCATGCTGTGAGGGGGCGGGGCAGCAGAATAGATGGACATGTGAGTGCATCTCGGCCATCAGAGGGCGGGTTTGTAGCGTGGTGTGCGCGGTGTGTGTGGACGCTGCTGCTGCTGAGGATGAGGATGGTGATGAGGATGATGTGGATGAGAGGAGCGGCACACACACAGACCTTTCCACGGAGATCCTGCGTCCTGGTTGCGACTTTGGCGCTGCGTTAAGACGAGAAAACACCGACCTCAGCTGTCAGCTTTGAATGTGGCCGCCTGCATTGCCTTATCACCTCTAACACTCCGGGTATTGTTCCTCTTTAATGACAGCGGACTTGCCAAACAAAAGCGGGAGTGACTTGAAAAGTGCGCGCAGAGATTTTCTTTTTTGGCACAAGTGAAGTGACGATATCCCCCAAATGGTCGCGATGGGGTTTGAGTTGAAGAACACGTAATCCCACTGAAACCAGCCTGACCCAAGCCGTTGTTAAGGTAACCGGGAAGTTGAAAAGGCGTTTTTTTCTTTTATTCCGTGACCGCTGGGATGTTGTGAACGGACGCGTCTCCGGGACAGAAGGAGCGGGGGACGCAGAAGGAAGAGAGGCGCACCAGGGCTGGACGAGCACCGGAGGGATTATGGCTCTCGCAACGGTTTTTCTCAGCCTCACCACGCTGGCGCTTACAAACTTGCACCTGTCGAGAGCCAGCAACCGGCATGCGGTGTACTGGAACAGCTCCAACATACTGTGAGTGTGTGTCTGCAGCCTTTTACGCAGCCCTGTCCGTGCGTTCAGCTGATCAACTTGTGTTTTCTCTTTGTCAGTGCGCACCACTGCTGATGATAACTTGTTTGTTAGAGAATATCCTCTACTGCAACGCGCTCCTCTTGTTTACAGACTCAAATACATTCAATAGGCTACAAATAATGATCCAATTATTATTTTTGTTTTACAATTTTTTAAGGAGGCGTCATATAATCTGAAGAGCCTGTGTGGTAAAAATAATGAATACCGTCTTTTTTTCATCTGAAAACCTCCATTGTCTTTGTTTTCCAGTAATTCAGGGTACCCACCCCCCAGGTAAAAAGCGCCCCCATCTCAAAACCTCCCCTAATGACCACAAGATGGAGCAAAATTTCATTCCAGCTCTTTTCTTGGATGGTGCTGGTATTTTGCACTAAACTCATTTCTGGTGGGAGAGAAACAAATTGTGTTTTTTGAGGTAAATTGTTGTTATTGTGAGAGTAGCTACATTATTTTTCAGGATGTACATAAATAAACTTTATCTAATTGTTCATGTAATTAACCTGAGAAGAATAATGTGGGGGGGGATCTATTAGTTTGAACAAAAAATATCAAAAGACGTTTTCACGCCTGAAAGTCAGACCCGAGGTTCATGTCTTATAATGTTTACATTTGATCTGCTTAGTTTTGGTTTCACAGTGTAATTTAGGGAGCAGACTTAAGACTTGTGTGGGACATATATGTCCTGTCGTCATCACCTATGACACTTGACATTGTCTTTCTTTTTCAGTAACGAGCGTGCAGTTTATATATGTGTGTGAAAGTGTAAGAGAAGGGTGTCCCATGGGTGTCAATGCTTTTGAACAGTTCAGCCTTGCTAATGTTAGTGTCTGAGGAAGTAGCCTTTATGTACACCATCGTCTGACTATAACCCATCATCGCACACCAATGGACCAATTGTCTAAAAGGCTAAATAGCTCAAATTATGTTACAATAAAAACGGCATAGGTAACATTATTACCACGTCGTTGTAGCACAAGCTTAATATCTTCCATTAGAAAATTCCAAGAGGTTGTCCAAAACTGTAGCCCCAAAACTAAAAAATTATAGGTATAAGTGGTATATACATTATACTAATTTTTTGTGAGCAACTGCTACATTAGCCAAATTTACATTTTGCTGTCAGACATCCTCCTGCTTCTCCCACAGATGCTTATTCAACTTAATTTACTTTCCATTGAACTGATCAATCAGCATACATTAGCAGAATGCTAGCATGATAAGAGCAGGATAATGCTCCGTGTAAAAAAATACATAGGGACCTTAGAATTTTTTATTTCAGTTCTCATATAAAATTGATAACATATTTAACAAAATTGAGTCTTCTTGTCTAGAAGCAGGAGTAAATCATTATTTTGGCGTTTCCCTTCATTCACTCCAATTCATTGAGGACTGCCTCACGACTGCCCTCTGGGTGAATTGCAGCCAATTTTGGTATCAAGGGATTAATAGGAACTGTTGACAGGCTCTGCTTCAATTCTTTACTAATGTGCTAATTCAGGCGAAGCATACGTGTTGATGTGCATGTATGTGTGTGTATTAAGTGCATGTGGTCGTGGTGGGGGGGGGGTTATGGAGGAACATGCCTCCTTACATGATTTTTACATTAACTTTCATAATAACGCATCCGTTGTCTTACCCCAGTTTACCCTCGTCCCAGTTCAGTAATGCATCTCCAGGTGGAAACTGTTTCTTCACTGCTCCTCCTCTCCACCCTGCATGCAGAGTGGTTACTGTATAAATATTTGATTTCTATCTCACATTTAGTCCATCTCCTGCTTCACAATAATGACTCATTTAAGCAGTCATCTCTCCATCTAGACACTTTCAGTCCTGTGTTGTCGATCATCCTACCTGCTGCCGTGCACCACAGAGAATCTACATAATTCATACACACAACTCAAACTTCCATAAATCTGCATGAGCATGTGCACTCACTATAAATAAGTATGCTGGCCCACACATATACAAACACAGGAATTAATGTATGCACACACACACACACACACACACACACACACACACACACACTAGGCCTACCCCTTGCACTCAGATTCCGCCGACCACAGTAAGGTTGCTGCCTCAGATAAGCTTCCCCAGGCTCTCCTACGTCTCTCTACCTGTGAGGTTTAAAGCCAGCTTGCTGTGGGGCAGAGATCGATGTGAATTCTACTGCCTTTGTCTTCTCATTAGGCAACAGTGAATCCATCTTTCTCACATTCTTTTATCTCCTCTCTTCACACAACCTCCTCCTTCGCCCCCGACCCCTCCTCCCTCTCCTCTATCTGTGTTCCTCCTCCGTCCATTTGTATTCACCTCAGATGCCGGTCTCTCCTATCGCCTCTCTCTATCTCATACTTGGTTATTTTCTTCCTTCTCTTATTTTTTTCTGCTTGTGTCCCACCAGCCGGGCTTGTCCCCCTCAATTCCCTTTTTCTGCATCTCATTGCCGCCCCCCATCTGCTCCTGGACCCTCATTCACCTCCCAAGCTTTCAGCTGCGAGTTCACATATAGCAGCTGATTGGAATTAAAAATTAATTTTTAGTTATTTGAAGGTATGCAGATGTGGGATAATTCAAATATTTGAAGGTTTCCTTGAGTCAAACAGTTTGAAAACTGCTTTAAAAACTGATGGAAACAGTCAAGGCACTGCTGCAGCACTGACACCTCCTCATTAATGTTGATGTTTGAATGGCACATTCAAAAATATTGTAGATTTATGACTGCAGTTAATCCTGTCAGTGTGACATGAATAGAGAAGGGGTATATTAACCGAGACTCAGTTGTGTTAAAGCGCTGTAATAGTGCACAGGTTTTTTGAATGTCATAATCAGTATTAGTCCTATCTATCAGTTTTAATTAGTCTTTGTGTGTGTGTGTGTGCGTGCGTGTGTGTGTGTGTGCTAAAATTATTTTCACAGCATGTGCATCACTGTTTAATGTCATCATTCATTGCACTGTTAGTACATTTTGTGGCTTTAAATTGACATTTATGTGTTAAAGTGACAAATATGTGCTCATATTAATGAATTCAGATTACTGTGTGTGTGTCTGTTTGAGAGACAGAAAGAAAGGCAGAGAGGGAGGGAAACATAGAGCGAGACAAAGTGCAGGTGTGGGTCTGCATGCCTGCGTGTGCAGAACCTCTCCTTTCTCCACAGTGGGATACAAATCTCTAAAATAATGCAAAAATTGACCCAGTTTGCAGGTAGCAGACAAATCCTTGGAGGCTATGGCAAGAGTACTGATGGCCATCAAGCTTTAAAAGGTCTTACGCTTGGGGCCACTTCTCCACCTCTCTGTCCACATGCATAGAGAACAAGCTGAGGGCCTCACTTGTTCATTGAGGCAGCTCCTTCTCTTGTCCAGCACTGGTTATAGAGACAAGCTCAGGAGGGAGCAGTGACAGACGAATGCATCGGCAGAGCCAAACCAAGAGGCCTATTGGGCCAAGCTCTGGTTGAGGCCTTAATGTTTTACCCTTGAGCGCTGCATTCAGCGCAGATGGTTACGGCCCAGCTGCAAGCAATGGGTTCACTTGGAAGCTAAGCTGTTTGTGCCAAAGCCATGAAAATGTCTTTTAATGATAACACTCTTAGTAATGTCTTCCTCTGGTATTAAATGTCAAAAGGGGATTGTCACACAGTTGATACCCAGTAACACTGCAGTTTGATTTTTTGCACTTTTTCTGAGGTAAACAACATCAGATCATTTATCATAGCATTTTCCTGTGCCTCGGACGATTTAAAACGAGTTATCTCGATTATCATTACCCAAAGAAATAGCTCAGAGTGCTTTGATTATCGCCCAAGTCCGTCATGACTGCACTACCCCCCCATTAGAAAGTGTTGCTCTCAGCTTCCTGTCTCAGCAGTGCGCCTGGCCAACTCGTTACAGATGTCCCTGCTAATGGCTGACTGAGGCAGGAAAAAACACACGCAAGCCATTAAATCATCTCGCATCTGAGGCCATCTGCCAATTAGAGGGGGGGATGCGGAACATCTTGAGAGCACGCGGGAGCAGCGGCGCACTGCAGTAGCCTCGCCTACCTGCAAGCAGCATCCCATGCTCCCGCCACCTCTTCCCATCAGGTGTTCGGCCTCGGTGGTTAGACGGGCTGCATCTCCATAATTGGGCACCCCCTGTCCGCATGATCAAAACAACAGCCCGGCTTTCATTCACTCTCCCACCTCTTTCCTAACTTACACAATGTCTCTTCTAATGCTTATAACTTAGCTGGACGCTGGAGCAAAAACCTCTGTGCATTCGAGGGAAGGAAATTTAATTTGAAAACATCACACATATCTCAGCTAAATCATCATCGCAGTGCCTGCTCAGCATGATAAAAGTTTTATTTTGCTGTTTGTGTCTGATCCTCTGTAGATACACCTCCGTGTGTTTGATGCTACACATTATGACCGTGGATTGGATGTGAAATAGAGACTGTCAGGCCCTTGGACCACATGAAGAAAAAACAACCCAATCCTAGGCACACCACATCTCGCGCTACAAAATAAATTATCACTTTGACAAATAGCTTCCCGGAGAGTTCGAGGTACGGAGGCCTGGTGATCAATGTTGAGTCTGGTTGCAGTCGTACTCAACAGGCTCATTAACTGCCAAGTCGGTCTGTGTGGGTGTGTGCAGGCCCAGCTAGACTCGGAGGTGGTTCCCTGCGGAGCTCAGGAGAACCACGGCGCCCTGCAGGGGAAAGTTTGCAGATATTTAGTTGCAGTAAAGCAAATCTTTTCTGGAAAATGACGAAAATATAGAGTGAGTGATGGAGAAGGTGATGGGGAAGGATAAATCAGAAAATAGATGGAAGAGAAGGATGCAAAGTGGAGAATATAACTGTAGGGGAGAGGTGGGTGTATTGGAGGAGGATACGGGAGAAAGGTGGAAAGTGGGGCAGTCTTTCAGGAGAGGAAAGTGAGGGAAAAGA